GGCAGGCCGCCCGCGCTGCTCTCTCCCGGTTCGCGGAGGCCGGCGTGGGGCGGGGCGCCGCGGCCGAAGGCGCAGATTACGTCATCCCCCGGCCGGCCGGCACCGCACTGCGCAGGCTCCAGCCCGCTCCAGGCCCCGCCCCTCCTCCGCTCACGCCCGCAGGTTCCAGGGAGACGCGGATCCGAGGAAGCGGCGTAGGGGGTAGGACTAACGAAGGCCCGCCCTCGCACCTTCACCATTGGTCTCCGGCCAGCCCGCGGCACCTCTGGCCGTTATCATAGGCTGTCAGTCAAGTCCGTCTGGGTCAGAGCTGCCTCCTGGGACGCGGGCGACTAGACATTCCCGGTCTCCTACCTAGAACTGGGGAGGCGGGGGCGTACTGTGGATTGGGTGACGCGGGACGTCCATCTGGGCCCTGAACCGGTTTGCACCGGCCTGAGCTCTGCCGCAAAGAGGCGGGGCGGCGAGCTGGGGGCGGTGTGGGTCTGGTGTCCATCCTGAGCCTGCGCTTTCGCATCGAGGCGGCTCATCTCTGCTTCACTCTATTCCATTTTCTGCAGGAGTTCCCTCAGCAGGGCTCTCCCATTGTCGTAGCTTATGTCGAGCACTACAGTGCCAGCCATTAATTGGAACTACCAGCTGACCGGTTGGCACCGCTTCAGTGATGCGGCCTGGGGTCCCTCCCTCTAGGAACCCGCAGTTGAGTGAAGCTCTAGTACAGTGCTACCTAATTGAAATAGAATACGAGCCACATATCTAACTTCAAATTTTCTAGTAGCTACGTTTTTTAAAAAAATAGCTAGTGCGGTGACTCACGCCTGTAATCCCAGCACTTTGGGAGGTGGAGAGGATTACCTAAACTGAGAGGTTCGAGACCAGCCTGAGCAAAATGGCAAGACCTAGTCTCTACAGTAAATCAAAGAATCAGCCGGGCGTGGTGGTGCGTTCCTGTGGTTCCTGGAAGGCTGAGGTGGAAGGATCACCTGAGCCCAGCAGGTCGAGGCTGCGGTGGCCCTGAACATGCCACTGCACTCCAGCCTGGGCGACAGAGTGCGACTCTGACTCAAAAAAAAAAAAAAAAAGAGAAAGGAAATAAGCAGGTGAAATTAACCTTAGTAATATATATTAACCCGATATAGCCAAATATTGTTCCAACAATGTTATGCAATGTGTAAGTGTCTGGACATTGCCGTCTTTCAAGCCCATGTCTGGCTTCTTTCTGTCCCTCCCCCAGGAAGCATCCTCTGGCCAAGGCTGGTCTCTACAGGATATGCATATACATTCCCTGTAACAAGTCATGGGGTTAAGGAGTCAAGGGATGCAGTTAGCCAAGCAACCTAAAGGCAATGCAATCATCACTCTTTTTTTTTCTTTTTTTTGAGTTGGAGTCTCACTCTCGCCCAGACTGGAGTGCAGTGGCCGCTCCCAGCCACCGCAGCCTCGACCTGCTGGGCTCTGGCGATCCTTCCACCTCAGCCTTCCAAGTAGCTGGAACTACAGGCGCCCGCTACCACACCCGGCTCATTTTGATTTATTGTAGTGATGAGGTCTCGCCAATTTGCCCAGGAGGGTCTCAAACCCGCGGGCTCAGGCGATCCACTCACCTCAGCCTCCCAAAGGCATGGGATTACACGCTGAGCCACCAAGCCCGGCTGCAGTCATCATTCTTACTCAGTGTGATGATAAACACTGTTGTAGGAATTTGAGTAATTCACTTGCTTAATTATAAAACTGCTTGCTGTACTGAGCCAAGGCACAGATTTTCTCATCACTGACCCGCTGCCTTCGGTGACCCTCCCCTAAGTGTAATAAAACCAGTGTCTCTCCATGCTGGACTTCCAGGTGACTTCTCTGGAATGGGTAAAAATTACATGCAAGCCCTCTCGGACTTGAGGTTACTGCGTTACACACAATATTGTAAAATCGTTAGTGAAATATTTTGCAATTTTTGCAGTAGTTCTTCAAAATCTGGTGTTTATACGCACAGCACATGTAATTCATGGTAGGCACATTTCAACTACTAATGGTTATTGTAATAGGCAGCACACATCTAATCAGTATATAAATGACTGAACTAAGGCAAATTTTGAAAAGAGCTTTAAAGACAAGTGCAAATGAAGGATCTAAGGTAACTTCTTGGATGAGGTGTGGTTTTGCTCACCTGCAGTCATCCCACAGCTATCTGCTTTGCTACATTCCTTCACAGATTGGAGGAAGCGCAATTGTTGTCCAGAGCCATCACAAGTTAAAAAATATGGTAATGTCACTGCACCTAAAGCTACAGGCTTTAGCTGGGCACAGTGGCTCATGCCTGTAATTCCAGCACTTTGCAAGGCCAAAGCAGGAGAATCACTTGAGCCCAAGAGTCTGTGACCAGCCTGGGTAATGTAGTGAGATCTCATTTCGAAAAAAAAATAAAAAAAATTAGCCAAAGGTAGTGGTGTGTGCCTGTGGTCCCAGCTACTCAGGAGGCTGAGATGGAAGGATAGCCTGAGCCCAGGAGGTTGAGGCCACGGTAAGCTGGGAATTGCATCATTGCGCTCCAGTCTGGACGATAAAAACCCTGTCTCAAAAATAAATTTAAAAACTCTACAAGATGTAATGCTCTGAGGACTGGAATAAAGCATTTGTGGTTAGGACAAATTGCCAAGCACACTTTTGCCTCAGGGCCTTTGTGCTTTCAGCCCCCTCCACCCAAAATGCTTTCCACCACATCCTTACATTCCATGGATAATGCTCCCTGATCCCTTTTCGGGCTTTATCAGACACCTTTTCAGTGAGGTCATCCACTGCCACCCTAATTAAAATCAAAAGCCCCCCCAAAATTCTCCATTCCCTTATCTTGTTCTGTTTTTCTAAAATAGCTTACCACCATCTGACATAGTGTATACTTACTTGTTTATTTTTTATTGTCTCTTCCTTCAATAGCATGAAAAACTCCAAGAGGATAATGATATTTGTGTGTCTTATTTACTGCCCTCAGTATCTGTTACATTCAGGTACTCAAAATAAACTGTGTCCAGTCATGATGGCACAGGCCCATAGTCCTAGTTACTGGGGAGACTGAGGTAGAAGGATCCCTCGAACCTAGGATTTGGAGCTTGAAGTGAGCTATGATTGCCTGTGAACCAGCCTGGGCAACAAAGAGAGACACCGTCTCTAAAAACAAAACAAAAAATCCAAACTCTGCTGAATTAATTAATTAACCCCAAACATGTTAACAGAAAAAAATCTAACTAGACCATTCTCAGAATAAAACTGGTTAAGGCAAGTTATATTTGTTAGAGAAAGGAATATCAGCTTATTTAAAAAGTGAAATCAGGCCGGGCTCGGTGGCTCAGCCTGTAATTCCAGCACTTTGGGAGGCCAAGGCGAGTGGATTGCCTGAGCCCCCGGGTTCGAAGCCAGCCCAGGTAACTTAGTAGACCTTGTCTCTACAATAAATAAAAAAAGTGAAATCAGCCGGGTATGGTGGCTCAAACCTGTAATCCCAGCACTTTGGGAAGCCAAGGTGAGAGGACTGCTTGAGCCCAGGAGTTTGATACCTGCCTGGGCAACTTGACAAGACCTTGTCTCTACAATAAATTAAAATATTAGCAGGGCATGGTAACATACACCTGTAGTTCCAGCTACTTGGAAGGTTGAGGCGGAAGGATCGCCTGAGCCCAGCAGGTCAAGGCTGCAGTGGCCCTGAATGTGCCATTGCACTCCAGCCTGAGCGACAGAGTGAGACTCTGACTTAAAATAGAAAAAAAAAAAGTGAAATCATAAATAGTAAGTCAGCAATTACAAAAATATTCATCTTTATAAATACTGATGTAAGGAGTGGTCTGATATTGTTGGGCTTACAGATATGATTTGGCTTCAAGAATGTGCACTTAGTATTCAGGCCCTAATATTTATCGATAACATTTTTATTTTTTATTTAGAGACTGGATCTTTCTCTGTCGCCCAGGCTGGAGTACAATGGCACAGTCTTGTCTCACTGTAGCCTCAAACTCCTGGGATCAAGTGATCATCTCATCTCAGCTTCCCCAGTAGCTGGGACTGCAGGTGTGTCACCTTGCCCAGCTACTTGTTTTATTTTTATTTTTTGTAGTGACCAGATCTTGCTGTGTTGCCCAGGCTGGTCTCAGACTCCTGCCCTCAAGCAATCCTTCTGCCTCTGTCTGCCAAATATTAGAAATTACAAGCATGAGCCACTGTGTCGCACCTATCCACAGTATTTTTGTTTATCAATATGGTCAACTAACAGAAGAATTTTTGTGCTCCCTACTTGAATTAATAAGTAATGATTTAAACGCGCCATAATCAGAACAGCCTTACTCATAAAAAATAAATAAACAGAACTGCGGAGAGGCATTTTCCACACAAGGAGATACCCTTGAAAGGCAATCCCTAAAAGATATAAGGACAAAGCTGTTTAGTGCAGCACTTTTTTCTAACAGAAAAAAAAAAAACAACTGCAAACAACCTAAATAACCATTAACAGGATAATGGTGGAACAACGATGGACTAGCCATTCTAGGGAATACCATGCAACTATTAA